CTGTAAAGAGACGTGTCATGCATACAATTAATTGTATAGTGGTACTTAACACTTACTTACATGTCATATATCTAAATACATACATACATATATATGTTATATATACGTACGCGTATGTGTTGTCTAGTCTTACTTCAAACTCCAATGATGAATAATCCAAGTAGTGAGCAAAGGCATCCGCCTTATTCGCCCTCCTCCACCATTCTCCATTCTCCAACACTCAACTCACAAAAGTTTTATTGATAGCAAGCGACTGTTTTGTATGATCGTGTATATATTTATGTGTGAATATATATTTAAAATTAAGTTTATAAAAAAATGTGAAATAAGAAAAAGCTTATTGCATATAAAGTACTCAATAATGAAATGAACAAGTACTTTTCAGTTTCAATGCAATAAAATGAAGTTTGATGTGCAGTTGGGATGTGTACACACATACATGCATACACACAGAAAGACTCAAAGAAATTCAAGTGAAACATATATGAAATAATTTTTATTAATACCACAACGCGTAGTGGCTTTTCAGCAATCTATACGCCACACGCACGTTCCAGTACTTTACCCGTTCAAGTATGTTTTGCGGTTACTCCTTTCCTAGATTTTGGAAAAACATGAAATTACAAATAAATATACGAATTTCGCAAATTTATGCATGACTTGTTACAATCGAAAACAATTGAGGTTGCCCGCCAAACGCATTTTAATTTTATTATGTGTCATACGAGATTCTTACAAAAAAAAAAAAAAATTATAAAAAAATATCGAAAATTGTTGATTTCTATGAAGGAAGGAATTTCCGGTATCTACTTCTTCTTCTTTCTTGGCGTGGATACCACTTGCACAATTATAACCGAATCAACAGCGGCGCGCCATCGGTTTCTTCTTTTCGCAGTTTGGCGCCAGTTGGAAATCCCAAGTGAAATCAGATCGCTATCCACCGGATACTTCCAACTAAGAGTAGGACGCCATTTTCTTTTGCTTCCACTGCTGTGTACTGCTTTCACCCATTCGGACGACATGACCTAGCCAGCGCTGCCACTGTCTCTTCCTTCGCTGAACTATGTCAATGTCATCATATAACGCGTACAGCTCGTCGTTCCAACGCTTGCGGTACTCGACATTGCCAATGCCCGCAAATCATTTACAAAAATTTTCTCCCTAAAACTCCAAAGTCAGACTAATCGGATGTGAACGTCGTCCATGCTTCTGCGCCATATGTAGGACTCAAATGACTAGGAACTTGTCAATGTCACCGTATATATCATACAGTTTGTCATTCTGTCGGCTGCGGTATGCGCCGTTCCCAACCCTTGGAGGACCAAAAATCTTACCCAAAACCTTTCTCTCCCAACGCCGACTCACCAACTGTTGACATCGTCCTCGCCTACGCACCATATAGTAGGACGGGAGCGGTAAATAACTTGTAGAGTTTGGTACTTGTTCGTCGAGAGAGGACTTTACTTTCAAATTGTCTGCTCAGTCTAGAACAAAACCTGTTGGCAAGAGTGGTTCCACATTGGATTTCGAGGCTGATATTGTTGTTGGTATGAATACTGGTTCAAAGATAGACGAAGTTGTCTTTCGAATGTGATGAGTATTTGTTTGATGACAGGAGATATTTCGTCTTGATCTCATTCACTACCAGACCAATTCGCTTCGTTTCCCCATCCAGTCTGAAGAAAGCAGAACACACGACGTGGTTGTTGACGGCAATAATGTCAATATCATCGGCGTACTCCATCACCTGTACCCTCATAAAGAATATGGTATCTTTTCTATTCAGCTCTGCAGCTCTTATTATTCTCTCCAGCATCAAATTTAAGATATCACTCGACAAGGAGTCACCCTGTCTGAAACATCGCTTGGTATCGAACGACTCGGAGAGGTCCTTCCCAGTTCTGACTGAGCTCCTGGTATTGTCTAGCGTCAGCTTACACAGTCGTATAAGTTTTGCGGGAATACCAAATTCAGACATAGCGGCGTAAAGGCAGATCCTTTTTTTTGCTTTCGAAGGCGGCTTTAAAATCGACGAAGAGGTGGTGGGTGTCGATTTTCTTTTCACGGATCTTTGCCAAGATTTGGCGCATGGTGAACATATGGTGAATGGTTGATTTACCAGCTCTGAAGCCACACTGATAAGGTCCAATCAGTTTGTTGACGGTGGGCTTCAGTCTTTCACACAATACACTCGACAGGACCTTATAGGCGATATTAAGAAGGCTTATTTCCGGTAATTGGCGTTGACTTTGAGATCGCAGTTTTTATAGTTTGGGCAGAGTACATTTAAAATTCAACCGTCGAGCAAACTTTCGTCCGCTCTTCACCATCTTGTTTTAATAGTTTTGCCAGTACGCCGTCAACTCCAGCCACTTTGTCTTCCACTTCCATCGTCTTTTGCATACTCACGCAATTAGGCCTTGTTTTTTTTTTGTTTTCAAATGCGTCTTATATCTGTCTTAAGTTCTCGATATCTATCCCACCTCTACTGCAGCTCGACATTCCTCATCGTACCAGCTCTGAAGGATAATAAAGCCTCTGGTTGAGTTGAGTAAAGAATGAGGTTGATGCTCAAGCCTTGCAACGCACTTCGGGCTGAAGGCTCATTGTGATACCGCTGCAGAGTACTTTTCACCTTCTCAGATGTACGAACCATTTCGGTGCTTTATGAACTTGAGCAGCCGCTACATCAGCCAGGCAGCCAAAGAAATGATGTTCCTCTTCTTCGCCTCTGCAGCTTCAACGATAATCGTTCGAAAAGTATCACATTCTCATAAAGCGTTTAATAACAGTGTCTAGTTCGTGTATTACAAATAGTTGTTGTGTTTTTACATAGTAAACCGATCTAAGAGAATTAGATTCCCTGATGTTTTAGCGTCAAATACAGGCCAAACATGTCTAGTTACGCTGCAGATATTTCGCTGTTTTGGATAGATGGATTAAAGCTTCTTTAAATTGAGTTTTGTCATAGATAAGGATAAGCCGTGACTTGGGTAGGCTTTATTTTGGTCATAGTGGCATCGCCTTTTGTAAGTTCATTCGCCGCATAGTCGCCTTCGTCTCTCTACAATTTAATGCACATACTGACCAGAGTTCCCACCATTCTGTGGCTCCCGTGCAGTAGTCTCGTAGTCTCAAGTCCACAGGCTACTCTTTCATCGGGTTTAGAGCCCTAAGTGAAGATTATTTGACAATCTGGTTTGGAGCATATGCAGTTCCCCATTCATTCCTGCCCGGGATTCTTATGGAGAACAGATAGTCAACAAAGTAGTATAATGGTTTAAACCACTGGAAACTGTGTGGACGTTGGCGAACAAGGCGTGCGCTGTTACACGATATTTTCAAGGCTTTGCAGCGTTTACTCTACTGGTATTGCAGCTCGCTTGAAGTTTGCTGTACAAATCCAAGGTTGAAAATTTGATGGAGTTGACGGTAGAGCTCCTGTAGTGGAAATAGCTGCTGATCCCTAAACTCTATCCAGTTTGCTCCTGGAAGTGTTTTTTCCACCAGACCACCAGACAAGTCGCTGTCTAAAACTGTATAGATCTAAAGAACAGTAAATAATAGAAAGAGGCCTTTGAGTAGAGCTCTTGAGTGATAGCTCTCCTTGACCTTTCCGCAGTATTCCGGCTCCAGTCCAGTTGAGCTTGCTATCTATGACTATCCCGACGTATTTTTCTTTGGTAGAGAGACTGATTTCCATGTCTTATAGGCTGGTTTAAAGGAAAGTGGTTTATATCTCCTTATGAAAAGTGCCATTTAAGGTTTCGCTGGCATACATTGCGCCAGCTTGTTACCATTCTTAGGGCTTCTTAGAGTAAATCACTTAGGATTTGTGGCTGCTACCCTGTCACAGTTTGGGCTGTAACAAACTTGTGTAATCTACGTGTAGGTGCCGAATCAGCGCGTTCACAGTGTGGTACTATAGCAGTTGAGATAAGACTCCTCTTGAGAAGTATCTCTGGTAAAACTGGCATTGCCTATCTCTGTGAAAATCATCCTGTTCCTCAGAAGTGTCTCCATAACCCTTACAACCGGTTGTGCACTGATAATATACAGAACAGTAGAAAGGGTAATATGGCTTGGCTTGGTAACTTCTTGTTTCGGCAGTTTTAGCCGAATACCACCGCTGTCAGTTTCTTTATCCCTGACTTAAATCTCTATCGAGCTTTTTATTCAACCACCTACTCATGGCTCCAAATCCCATCATCCTGAAGAGAGAGACCCCTCGCAATAGCACTTATCTACTTAATTGAGTAGAAGCGTTTGGCTTCAGCCTTTCTTATGGTTCCTTTTTACCATTTCATCGCAAAAAAAATAAGAAACTCTGGGAAGTTAAGTGAATTCATAGCTGGATATCACCACACTTAATTCACTGATCAGGCTTTTAATGCTACCACCCAGAATCCCCTAAACCCCAACCGTTTCCCAATGTGAAAAAGCCTCGAGGGTGCACATTATGAGCGGCCAAAACTTTTCTTGAGATTAATTTTACGAAGCCAATTGTAGGGTAACCTACCAAATCTAACATGGCTCATTGACAAGCTTATTAAAGCTTGCGGAACTGAAGATCATCTGAAGCACTTGCCAACGAACCCAAAAAAAACAAAAGCTATTTGATAACAAAATAAACATAGCTGCAGGAAAGCTTAAAGTCTACCCAGAAGAAAAGTATTGCCAACAGAAAAGTAGTTGAAAGACAAGTTAAGACGACTCAAAAGTAAACAAAGCAGACCCCTATATGGCTGTTACCAACACAAGCGCAACATGTGTTTTGAAGCTAAGAAAGCCGTTAACACTTCGAGAGAGACACACAACTGAACACACAAACGGTGGGTGAGCGAGAAAACTTTAGCTGAGCGCGCGCACACAATAAAGCTCTGCTAAGTTCACCTACAGTGATGGCCCTCAAGTGGGGACACTAACAGTGCCACTGGCTACTTTGGCTATCAAGCCGTATCGTCTTACCAGGTGTATGCGCGCGACACTCTCACAGCGCCAATCAGTTTGATTCTTGGTGCTGAGCGCGTTGGTAGCGAGCTGGTGGAACGACGGTCGGTTGTGCGTTTAAACTTTGCTCATACATTTCAGTGGTCATTTGATGGGGACCGCGCCTATTTTGGGCAAATCAAATACACAAATGCGTGCGAATGCACCACGCGAGGCGCATTAAAAGTGGAAATCCGCTTGAAGGAAAGTGAAAAGTGTGTGAAAATGAATAAAATTTTTATGGAAAAATGTGATTTTTAACAAAGAAAATTGTGGAAAAAAATTGGCATAATTTTTTTTTTCTGTTTCCCAGCATTAGTGAAAAATGCGGATGTGTGCGTGTGTGAAAAGCACTGGTGTATGCAAATGTATTGGTGAGTTGGTTAAAACCACTTCACAGCCAACTGACGTTTCTTATAACCAATACTAAGTAAGCTTTCGCATAGGTGGAAGAAGAAGAAGAAGAAGAAGAAGCGTGCTTATGGCGAAGTCTTATAAAGTATGGGAAGACAGTTGGTTAAAAGACGTTAATAACAGCAACAAAAACAACAAGAACAAGCACAACAAACTTGAGAAAACCAAGGGAAACAACAAATGAGGGATAAATATTGAAGTTTAGCGAATATAAATGTGACGGCAAAAAGTTAGTGAAGTTGGTTGTGAAGTTGAAGAAGGAGAATATAAAGAAATATGCAAAAAATGAAAAAAAATTCAAGAAGCTGAAATTAACGTAATAGGTCAAAGCGTACCCAAAAATGTCAACGGAAAGCGGTCTCAAAAATGATTCAGAAAAAAATGACAACAAATAACCTGAATAAATGAGCAACACCCGCATACGAGGAGAACAACTAGTACATATATATATATATATATATATATGTAAAACAAAAACAATGGGCACTGATTTAGTGCAGCGCGCATAAAACACTGATTCATCTGTTGAGATTTGCGATAAAGCAAAAAAGAAAAACGTACAAAAATATAAACATAAAAATGTGCTAATAAATAACCAAAACGAGTTTTAATGGAATTGATGTACATAAAAGATGTTGTAAAGAGAAGTAATAAAAACAAAATTAATTGAGTATGTAATAATATTAAATTTAATTATAAAAAATTCAAATTAAAGCGAAATAAAAAACATGAAATTACATAAAAAAAATTAAGATAGAAAAAATTAAAAGAAAAGCAAAAAAGGAAAAAATGGAAATATTAAAATAAAAGAACAAAAAAAATAATATAATTAAATAAAAGAAATAAAATGAAATCTAAGAAAAAAAGAATAATTAAATTAATAAAATAAATAAAAATAAAATAATAAAATAATAAGCATAAAAAATCGAAATAAATACAAAAATTTAATTTAATTAAATGAAAATTATATACGAGTATCCTAAAATATAAATTAAAAGAAAAAAAATAATAAATAACGTAAGCTGAAATGATTCTAATTAAATTAGAAAATAATATCAACGAAAATTAATTTATTAAATGAAAAAAGAATAATTTATTTGAAAATAGGAAAAAAATAATTTGACATAAAAAGGAGAGGAAAATAAAACAATATGAATAAAATAAACAAAATAAAAAAAAAAAAAATAATATTAACAAATTAAATTGAAATGAAAATAGTTTAAATTAAATAAAAATGTTTAATAAATTATAAATAGAATAAAAATTATTATTCTTAAATATATTAAAATATTAATTTAAAAAAAAAGAAACAGAATTAATTAAAAAATATAAAGAAATAAAAAGTAAAATAGAATAAAATAAAAAACATACAAGAGGAAAAAGAAGAATATTAAATAACATCAGTTAAAACAGTGAATTTAGATTTGAATAAATAAACTTTAAACAAAAGAATAATATAAATAATAATAACAAAAAAAATTGGCAAAATTAATAATAATCATAAAACGATATTAGTTCTGGTAGAAAGTAATCCATTATTTTTGAAATAAATTGGGTGCCTTGTCTATTGGTAAATACAATTATCGGATTAGTGTCAAATATGCGCCGTTTAGCTCTATAACTTGTTGTTTTGTCGGTACTGTAATTATGTCTCTCTCATGATAACCCTGGTCTCCATTCGCAAGAATTAGGGAGAATCGATTTTCACAGGCTTCTCTTGTATTCGATTCTTCAGCTGCCAAATCATTTGCCATAACCAGGAGGTTTTGACCAGAAATGGCATGAATTAGAACCACCAAACCGAGCTCTCGGAGCTTCTGTGCAGTCACTATCGATGTGCGTCGCCTGGCAACATCCCTCCTGTTGGCTACAGTTACGGGTTTCTGGTGGATTATTTCATAATGGATTATTCCATGCCAATCCCTGCAAACACACAACAAAATCTTCCCGGTAGTCTCACTGTCCTTCGACCAGGAGGAGGGCGAGTACTTTTGACAGAAAATAAAAGCTCTTCAGAAAAATCTAGCGGCCGTTCGTAGACGGCTTGGAATAAACTGTAGGTCACTTAACTTATGGGGAAAATATGAAGCTATGCACCATAAATCCAAGGAAGAGCTTTACCGATACCGCTTCAGCAGTTACAAACATTAAAATATTATATATAGGTTAGGTAGAAGTGGCCAACACTCAGTGATTTCTACATCGAAACGTCCACTGTATTATCAGAAAGAATATTAATATTCTGAACGTTGACCACTTTTTACGAAGTGAATCGCTCGTATGGGAACCGAAGAATTTTCAGTTTCATTCTCAAAAGCACTACATTTCGTAGGAAAGTCTATAGATGATGGCATATCTTCTTTCAAACAACCACCGCGGTGGGGATCGAGAAAAATACAAAGCCTCGCAGTGTCAATTCATATTGAATAATGCCCCGTCAGAACTCTCTCTTTGAACGCCAGTTTGGTCTTAGGATTGAAAGAAACGTTGCTAACTTTCGTGGACCGTGGAGCCAGAAAGCGCTCACAACCTCGCATTTTTAAATGCTATCCGAGCGCTGAGTTGGTTATAAATCCAGCTATTCAAAGGCAGATCGCTGGTAAACAGTAGAGTACCCATTCATGCTTTTGTTTGACATTAACGAAGCTGTAACATTCGTACGTGGAATATGTGAGTAAAAGTAAGAACAAGACTTCCACAGCGAGAAGTTAAGTCCTCCTTTCCTCTAATAGTTCTATCACCACCTGTACTTTCGTAGATAAATTATTGGGGGGACGGAACCATCTTTAACATACAATAATCTGATCCGCTACCAATGAAATGAGGCCATCCAAGAACAGACTCCCTGAATATCGCAGCAAATGACCTACCGCAAGTATTGACAGACACTTTACTATTATACCTGACATTAAGCCCCAAGATTCTAGTAGTTCGTGATGCACCATATATGACGATGAGGGCTATGCCTTGGCCAATTTTCATACGTTTATGTAAAGTAAATATTTCCAGGACTTTCTCTTTCTCTTTGATGCTTGACTTACAGGACAGTTTTCTGTCTAGAATTATCCCAATAATTTTACTTTTCTTCTATCCTTCTATCTATTTTCGGTTAAGTCTCCACAGTAAACCCTTTCGACTATAATTGTGATCTTACCAGCTTAACCCAATGGTCTTTCAGTGCGCTACAATGAGACTTCTTCGAAGCTCTCGATTGACATCTTCCTTTTAACTATTTACAGATTTTTCGTGTCGAATAAATCCGATTGCAATCACGTTCCGCTTTTCTTTCCGAGTCAATGTCTCGATCAGAAGATGCGATCACTTTAGACGTACATTTTCCCTACGAGCGCTTTCCAGCCAGAAAGCAACGTTGCGCGACATATGCCGCAGGCATTCACTTCACCCAAGCAATTTACTAAGCTCATAAATTTACCTTCACTGTTGGAGCTCTTCGTTTTACGCTTATGATTCAATGAATTTTCTGAAAAGCACCACGAAACAAACGCCTTCATTGTGCGCCTACTTTGCGCCTTTGCCGCTCAGGCAATGAAACGAAAAATGCACACGATGCGCGAGCGCAATGGCATCGGGATGGTGGCGACGACGTCAACGACAACAAATGACTGCATATGCGCTCGTGCGCAACTGCAACTTTGTACGCGCGCTAACGGTAAAGCACATCCAGTACCCAGCGCGCGCAGAGTTTCGTCAGTGGCGGCACTGATGATTGGTGAAGGTGGTGAGCGTGGTTGCTGGTGACAAAGACTTGTCGGGCGCGATTTAATTGCGCGCAACTAACTGTAACCAATAAACAGTCGATGAGGGCGAGTAAGTAAAACGATCATCAACAAATTTTTTGTTGTAATGCTATAATTTATAATGCGGAATAGTGTAGGAGAGGAAGTGAAGAGAATCTGCATGATGCTCGTGGCAAATTCAAAGTCACAGTCCACGTTATAATCAAAGCGATTCCATAAATCCAGAAATTTAAATTCTGATTTCTTTTCTTAGGAGAAAGTTACTTTTATAAAGCGTCAATTCAGCGAATTTGAGCAGACTTTGGTGTCAGCCAGAGCTCTCGCACTTTGGTAGTGGTCTAGGCTTTCTCATCTGGTTTCGCCACCACCACGCATTTTATTCCTTCGCAAGAAAGCGGCATTCGGTTCTACTCCCATTTTGTGCTTCGTGTTTTTATATTGGTGTGGCAGTGTAATCATCCGTTAACTTGAATCGGATTCGACACGTTTGCATCCGCCGCCTCTGAGGACTGTGTCTCCTTCCCCAATGAGTTCCTACCTGGCGCACTGGTTGGAGCCTTCATACTGCTCAGCGGTATAGTATCATTATGGCCACTAAACTGCGGGTTTCATACCGATATGGCATGTCATATAAGTCGAACTCGTGCACTCTTATAAGAGATTGTGGAAAGTCCCATTTCGGTATTGATAATTACGCCTTTCATTAAGATCCCTAAATGAAGATTGCGATTTCGCTAGCCAATACCTGAATACCTCTACGAAAGGTGAACCTGGTTTTCTTAAAGTCACTGAAGCTGTTGGCCAATAACAGTGTCATGGGTTTCGTAGGCTCACACTGGACGGGAAAATGTTTGGTATTCGACAGGTACGCGTCTTCGCTGACTAAAAAATTTTGATGTTGTTTTTGCATTCGTTTTGTTTGAAGGTTTTGTATTCTTGTCCATTCTAAAAAGATCACCACGCAGAGCGACTGTCCGATGTATACGGTTTCACCGAGGTAATCGCGGTAAGGGGCGAATGCTCTGACGGAGTGATGAGCCACCTTCTATCAGAAATATACGAAATTATAAATAAACGAAATTAGAAAAATTCTTCTTCTTCTTTACTGGCGCAGACACCGTTTACGCGATTATGGCCGAATTGACATCATTTAACCAATTAAAGATATCAAGTACCCAGGTTCTTCTCTACCTGTTCTTTCC